ATATAGTATTAGGTTTTCCATTACCATGGACTAGGCTTACCAAGCCTTAGGCCTGTAAGTTTGAGTTATTTTTTTTTCTTATTTGTTTTTTTATGTGTCTAGGTTAAATATAAATTTTAAAAAAAATTATTAAATTCAGTTAAGTCCATGACCTGAATAATAGGTTTGATGAGTTAAGCCATAATACACATGCTTCTTCTTCTTTTTTTTTTTTCTAATATTATTTCTTTAATTCATATATTTTCTCAATATTTTTTTATAAAATAATTTTTAAATCTATGTTTCAATTATTATCCCTCCTCTGTGATTTTTTTTTATTTAACCTTTTTTGAATAAATACTTTTTTAATAGTATTATGTGTATTTAGATTTCTAAAAAATTATTATGATCCATCTATATATTTTTTATTCTTTAGTCTAGTTGAATCCATGACACGAAGAACAGGTCTAACGAGTTAAGCCATAACACCTAGGTTTCTTCTTTTCTTTTCTTTTTTGATATTATTTTTTTAATTCATATCTTTTTAATATCCTTTTTTATAAAATAATTTTTAAATTTATGTTTCAATTATTATCCCTTCTCTATGATTTTTTTTTTATCTTATTTAACCTTTATTGGATAAAGACTTTTTCAATGGTGTTATGTGTATTTAGATTTTTAAAGGATTATTATAATTAATCTATACTTTTATTCTTTTGTACAAATAAACTTCATTTTTGAAATTTTTTTTTTCAAATAATATTTCTAATATGTGAAGCCTTATGTAATACTTTTTTCTTTTCTTTTATTAAATTAATTTAATGTGTGTGTATATTTCTATTATCATTTGATTGAATAAAAAATTATTCTTAATAAAAAAATTCAATAAGAACAATTGAATAAATATTCTATTTTTTGATATTAAATATTTTGATCTATATCTGTCTCTTGATATTTTCAGTTTTATTTTTACTTATCGTTAATGACTTTTTTTCTATTTATTAACACATATAATTCTTAATTTATTTGATTTCATGTATGCCAGTTTTTCAATCTACACCAATAATCTTTTTATGTATAAAAACAAGTCGAGAAAGCCTATATATACAATTTTTTTATTTGAGAAAGAAATATTTGGCCTGCAACAGAGCATAAGTCAAATAACTAGTGTTTTTACTAGTTTACATGCTTGCGTTGTGCTGGGGTTAGATCAAATATTTTTTTAAATGTGACAAAAAATATACAGGTTATGGATAATCATTTGGTAATATTGTTATTAAACACGATTTAATGGGTCAACCTTAAAACCTTTTAATTCAATTCATTTTCTAGAATGAGTTTAAAATTAAATCTCGTAAGAGATGATTAATTGTGATCAAGTTGACTTGATTGATCCAAGACAACTTAGCCAACTGGTAAAAAAATTCTAAGGATAAATTGAGAAAAAAAACCTCTTGACTACACTACTTGTCCAACCCGGATTTAAAATTAAAATGTGTGAGAATTATGCTGACATAATTTAATCAACTTGGTTGATCTAAAAGTAACTTAAATTATTGTTAAAAGTAACTTAAATTATTGTTAAAAGAATATTTGAGGATGAAATTATGAAAAAAAAGGAACAAAATTGAAAGAAATAAAAGGAGAGAAAATGAAAAAAATAATAGAGGGTGAATTGAATGGAAAAAAAGAACTCCGCTATTTCATATGTACAATAAAATTCCATTAAGATTTTTAGTATAATAAAGCAACTTTTATGTTTATCTCATTGAACAAATTAGATTAAAAATATTTTAAAAATATATAAAGAATTAAAATAACAAAAAAAACTTTATTATTTTTTACACGATCAAAAAGTTGATATCTTATTCCAAGTGTTGGAGTATTGAAATAACAAATAACCTAGTACGACCGGGGTCAATCCATATGGAGGTCGATTATATAAATTAGAAATAATATATATAATTTAATAAAGAGTTAAAGAAATATTTGAGATGCGAGATTAATATGATGATTAAATAATGATAAAAAATGGTTGTCAATGTTAGAGGATCACTAATGATATTAGAAATAAGTATAGTATAAACTTTTTTTATTACTCAATTGGAAACCACACACAAAAGAGGTTGTAATCAGATGATTTATCCTTAATAGTCCATTATAGATTTTTAACATGATCATATTAATTATCTTATTTTAGTAACACCATACTTTTAAATATTTTCAGGAATTCATGATGCTAACTTATGTTAACAATAAATGAAGTTCCTCTCATAATAACGATGTCGACTGAAGATTATGAATGATCAATCATTTATTATACTAAATGTTATATAACATAAATCTAGATTAATCATTTAACAAGCAAGGTATTAAGAATTAATAAGATAAAAAGATAAAACATATTAATAACAAATTTTCTTGGATATAAACATTGAAGTCTATGTTTAGTTTATATTATACATATTCTAACAGCATTAGTGAAATCTTTTTATCTTGACAAATTAAACTGAGCTAAATATTATAAAGAAAAGAAACATAAATAAACAAAATAAGAACATAATTATGATATAAGTTAACTAAGAGTAGTAAAGAAAATGAAAAGTATAGATAAAAGATTAATATAACATGAAAGAAAACTTGAACATTACAAAGAGAGAAAGTAAGAAAGTGATCTTGATATGAAAATCAAGTTGCTTAAATGTATGACAAATGTCTTTTTTATATGTTAAAAAAAACTATTCATTTAGTAATTAACTATTGAATTAGTGGTCAAAAAATGACTTAGTGGACTTGGTGGTTTAGGTATGGATCTGTTTTTTTGAATCAAATGACATTTTTATGATCAGAATTTAACAATATGATCTCATGAAAGTTGTATGAATCTGTCTCAACTTTCTATCAAAAGAAGAATGAGCTCATTTATACTTCTAGAACTCGAAATATGGACTAAACACTAAATAGTGTTTGGGTTGCAAGACAGATTCAGACTTTTATTTTTATGCTAAAATTTGGACTCCAAAATGGCAGAATTGAGTCTTGAACTCTGAATGAATATTTTCGGCTTATATCTTAGCTTTTTAGCCATATAAACCATACTGAAATTCATTCAAAATCTATAGTTTCAGATATGACTCAATGACTGAATGATGTTCTAGTTTGAATTGAACCAACATCTTTTTTCTAAGCTGAGTCATTTCTCTGTCCTTTCACTTTCAATAATTAATTACATCAATCATTCTTTTGAACTGTAAAATATGTTTGCATTTAAAATGAATTAAAGCTATTTTATATTATCAGACTTGTTATTATAACATGCTTAAGATAAAAAATTTAATGATACTTTAAGTGTAATATAATGATATAAAATCTTAATAAAAATATACTTTTAAATACTAATTATTTTTTTAAAAAAAATATTATGAAAACATCTTTGTCGTGATTTGTACTTTGTCTAAGAGGCTATAACCAAGAAAATTTTAAATTAAAATAATATTGTTTGGGATAAAAATAATAAGTTGAAATTGACTTAATAACTTATATATTAACTAGATAATTCAAAAACTAAGATTTTATTTATTTATTTATTTAAATCAAGTCTAACAACTATATTGTTAGATGAACCATTCTTGACATGACTTGTTAGATTGGTCAGGAAGGTTGATCTATGGAAAAAAAAATGTTATTGTTATTCAAATTAAACCATAAAAAAATGAATACTATTTAGTCAATTTCTAATTATTATGATAAATAATGTTTTAAAAGTACTATTTAGATTTTCTTTTATACAATAAAGATATTATCATATCAATTTTCACATATTAACAATTATCAAGTTATTTATCCGAATTCCTATAAATATTTTTTGATAAGAGGTATGTGTCCCAAAATTAAACATAGTTATCATACTAGCTTTGTTTAGCCTAACAACTGAACCCCGGATCTAGAATTTTAACCTAGTTTGTTTCATTTAAAACATAAGTCAATAATTGATTTGAAGGAAATCATTTGATTCGTTAGATCAACTTGAAACTCAGGTGACTTGTAAAATATAGTAAAGATTTTTTTAAAATATATATTTTTTTATCATAGTCAAAGATCTTTTATATATATATATATATTTTTTAGTTGGTTATTAATCTATTTTAAAGTTCATTATATAAATACTAGAAGAATATTTTAATTTTTAAATATGAAATTTGAAACCCTTTAATATATATACTCTATATCTACAAGAAAAAAATTATAATTTTTCAATGTGAGATAAATTTTTTTGTTTAAATATTTCAACTTAAAAAAATAAGATAGTATCTTTTTAATAAAATAATTTTCTAAATTTCATTATTTACAACATATATAGCTCATATTCATATATATTGTTTTTTTATTTTTTTCATTTGAAATATTAAATCTTCAGATATTTTTTTTAAATTTTTACTAGCGGACCTAGGTTAAGTCAACCTGTATAACATAAAACCTAATTTTTTGATCAATCATCTGGGTCGAATTTGAAGGTGTTTGTGAATGTAGTAGTAACTATTTTTTAAAATGTTTTTCATTTTAAAACACATTAAAAAAATATTTTTTTAAAAAATATTTTTAACATCAACACATCAAAATAATTTAAAAATATTAAAAATATATTAATTTGAAGCAATAAAAATTAAAAATTTTCAATTTTTTTTAAAAAAATACCTAAATATTCATGAAGTTAAATAGTCATAGGTGCCTCAAAGTTTAATAGCTGCATGGGATTAGCTTTATGTCTATAGTCTAGAAATAATAGACCTGGTCCATCGTCTCTACAAAATTCATTAATTATACCTTTCACAGAACTCGCTGGCGCTTTCATTCTCTAAAAATTAATTATTTATATAATCATTTTATGAATTCTTTCTACAATATTTTTAAGGAAATGGCTTCCCAAAAATTACAGGGATGCAGGAAAACTAGAACGCGTCCTTGACTCGGGAAAGTTAATTAATTTTCTTCCCATGACGTGTTGATATGATCTGTGTTCTCAGCCTATTTTGTCTGCCAAATTGTCTTGACTAGTATTGCTTTTCTTAACTGATACGCCTTGCCTTCTTCGCAAACTGACATGAACATCAAAAAAGACAAGATATACTTCATGTCCTCCTTGAACTTCTGTTCCTTAGCTTTTACCATGTTGTTTTTAGTCTGCATCCCATGTTGTTCATGCGCAGTTAGCCAGCAATAGGCACGTATAACACAAGGAAGGTTGACACAGTTTGATTCATAGCTGGTTCCTACTTCTCTTAGTCACTGTAGACGTTGAGTTTCTTGGTAAGAAAGAAAATTTTTGAAGGTTTATTAATCAAGGGAGACTCGTGTGTTTTAGACAGATTTATGCTTATTTGCCAGAGCTAACAGGGAGTAGCTAGAAGAAGTACCCTAAACCGGTGGCTGATCACCCGGTGATCAGTTTGGCCATTGTGAGATGTGAGAAAAACAGCAGTCTGTTTCTGCAATATCCGTTCGGATCAAGGAGATTTCAGATGTCCCTGTAATTAAGTACACTTTGACTCGTTTTATTGCAATATGCTGTAGCAGGATTCTTTTGTTTCTTGTGAACTAATGGCCTGGAGGTTTTGACCCTGGCTATATTTTCTTGCAGTTGGTGGTTAGAATGGAGGATCTTCACAAGCTGTACTCAGAAGCCTTGCCGAACATACCTATTTCTGTAATCAAAGGGACACCTGTAGACAAGGTTTGCCTCAAAGCAAGCAGACAAATGCCATGCTTTAAATTTTTGGTTGATTCGCAGATGCAACTGTTTTATGAGCTATTGATGGTACTATGTTTTATAGAGAGTGGCACATTTCTGCAAGGCGTTGACATATATTAGAGATTCATGGATGGTTAGATTCAGATATGATAAGACTGGTAAAATCAAGAACACCGATGGGGCACAACTTGGTATGCAGTTTCTTTCCA